CTTTTGAGCAAAGAACATTAAACATGTGCTTCTTTTACAATTCCAGGAGCATGAGACCATCAGTTGCATTTTAGATTGAATTGGGTATGTCTAGTTTAATGAAAAGAAGGACTAGAGATGACATGATAGCAGTGTTTCCATATCTAAGGGGTTGCCACAAAGAAGAAGGGCTCAAGCTATTCTCCAAAGTACCAGAAGGCAGGATAAGAAACAATGGATGGAAACTAATCAAGGAGAGAAGCAATCTAGAAGAAAGGAGAGATTTCCTGACAGAATAATGAATCAGTGAAAAGACTTTGTCTCCAGGTTGTCAATGCTCCAACACTAGAAGTTTTTTAAAAAAGATTGGACAACTATTTGTTTGGAATGGTATAGGGCCGTGATGGCAAACCTATGGCATGCATGGCACAAGTGGCACGCAGAGCCATTTATGCTGGCATGCAAGCCGCAGGCAAACTTACCTCACTGCGCATGCGTGCGCCTCACAGCTGATTTTCTTTTCAGTTGGTTTGAGGCCTTTTTCGGCCTCCCAGAGGCTTGGAAAAAGCGTCTGCAAGGCTTTTCAGGACAAATTATAGGCCCGTTTTGTCACTTCCTGTAAAACCGGAAGTGACGAAACGGGAATATAATTCGTCCTGAAAAGCCCTGCAGATGCTTTTTCCAAGCCCTGGGAGGCCGAAAAAGGCTTCAAACCAGCTGAAAAATCAGCTGTGAAGTGCATTCCAGGTAAGGGGGTGGCGGCAAGGAGGGGACTTGCATGCACATGCACGGGGGGGGGGGGGGGGGGGGCATGCATTGCATTCTGTGAGTGCGTGCATGCTGGTGCACGCACAATTTTTGGCCCAGGAGCCCAAAAAGTGGTATAGGGTTTCCTGCCTGAGCAGAAAGACTAAAAGACCTCCAAGGTCCCTTCCAACTCTGTTATTCTATATTCTATAGATTCTTAGATGGTTTAGGAAAACATACTATATAGGGATGTCTGTAAAACATTTTTTTAAAAATCCCTCCAGTTTTTCTCCATAAGGATAAATCTAGGACTTCCGGTTTGAGCTTCTTCAGCGACAGACCAAAACCTCGTCTCTGCGAGGCTTCGATCCGTGCTCACCGCTGGAGCGGCCCAAGCCGGCTGGTTTCAGGGCTAAGCCACCCCGTAGAGGTGGTGAAGAAGGGGGAGACTGCCTGCAGGGTTGAGGAGAGCCGCATCTCTCCTCCCCAGCTGGCCATTACTCCCTTTCCCAAAGACGGTTGCAGCGGTGGTCAGAAATGGCCACCACAAAGAAGAACTCGACCGGAAAAGAATGTGCAGGAGGAAGATAAGAAGAGAAAGTTTTGGTTGACCGGGTCAAACAGCAAAAGCAACAAATAAGGTACCCTGGAATTGAAACTGTTAAAAAACAATAACATTGTTCCCTAAGAAGATTTTTAAGATGCGAAGGAGAGAGAAAAGGGAAAAGATTTGGTTTTCTCCTTTTCCTATACTGACAGCTAAGAGACTTAAGCAAGAAATTGGAAAAAAAATCCACTTTGACATCAATAGGCATTTAATGCTGAAAATAAAAAGTCAAAGGGATAATAAAGATTTCTGGATAATTAAAAGCTTTTGAAAACAGGAAAGGAGAGAAAAAGAATAAAAGGGTAGGATCTGGAAGGGAGGAGACTGCCTGGAATTAAAAAAAAACTTACAGCAAAATCTCAACAAGACTTCCAAAAGATACATTCTAACTGAAATATCACAATAAAAACCATAGGAAGAGAAAGTCGAAAAAGAAATAAGAAGATATAACTCAGGACTATCTGGATTACTTGATGATTTCTGGATTCTTGGTTATTGTTTTGAATGACTAAAATCAATCGGATGGTTGTTTAAAACTGTTTAAAATGGCTCCACTTTTAGAAGAACTGAAAATAGAACTTAAAAAGTACAAAGAAGATGCACAAGAAGGGAGAGGTTCTTTTGGCTTCATATTTCAGTTTTTAGAAATGGAGATTTGGAATTATGAGAAACAACAAGAAATGCCTGCAGAACAAGAAGACTGCAACAAAGAAGAAGCCATCTTTAATGAACAAGTAATCTTAGATGGAGGAAAAAAAGGAAAGGGGGGAAAGAGAATGGAAAGTTTAAGATTGGGAAAAACAACTCCCCCCCAAAATAGAGTGAAAAATAAGTATAAAATCAGAAAGCAACAGAAGAGGGAAATGCAGAAGAGAGAATTAGAACTAGAGAGACAAGGGGGTAAAAAGGGGAGGGAGAAGATGAGAGGGAAGAAAGAAAGGAAAAGAAGTTATAAAGGACAGAAGCAAAATATAGAGAAACAGGGCCTATTTAGAGATAATGGGTGAAAATTTAATTGAAAAAGGGATTCTGCAAAGGTACATAAGATAGTATGGTTATATTAGAAACAGAAATAATTTTAGAAAATATGAAAATGTATGATTAAAATGTCTAATAAAATAGCTATCGTAATTCAGTGGAATGTTTGTCAATAAATAAATGTAACAAAAGGTATATTTAATGATTTATAAAGCATATGTGAAGAGAAATAAGGGAAAAATTAATTATGGAGATTATATGTATTTTTAAGGAAGTATGATATTTAATTGAAAAGAAGTGTTAAAGATGTTATGGTTTTAATGATTATTAATGATAGAACTGAACTGGAATGGAATGAGGGTTTATAATTACATATATTTACAATCTTTTTTTTTTAAGAATATAGTGTGTATTATAAGAATGTGCCAAGCAGAATTCGATTGGAAGTTATGTATCATGTATTATATTGAAGGTCATAAACTTAAGGTATATATTGAAGTTTAAATAAGAGTTGAATGGATGTAATTAAAAGATATAAAGGTGTCATACTCCAATTAGTAACTACAGGAGAAAATTTGTTTAATGAGAAAAGATAATATGAAATTGCAACAGAACAGACAAAAGTATAAATATAATGATTTGAATTGAGATGAGATAATCAAAATAAAATTGAGAAAATTAAAAGAGGGGAAAAACTATATAGAAAATGTAAAATAGTATAAGATATGGAATAGAATACAAAAAGGAGCATGAAATTGAGTTTTGTGTCTGTATAAAGAAGTTCAACCCAGGACCATGCTATTTTCAAAAAAGATGTTTTACTTGCATTTTGTGTGTGAAAACCCAAATAAAACTTTATTTTTAAAAAAAGGATACATCTATAATTATTCAGTTGCTTATTTCAGAGCAGTAACATAGATAACATAGTAACTCTTTAAGGACAGATCCTAGGCCCGCAATAGAGGAATGACCTGAAAAGATGATGGAACTGGCAGAGATGGTGAACCTGATTAATTAGGGACAGGAATGTGAATAGCTTTGTGGTTAAATAGCTTGTGGACTTTCTGAATGAAATAAAATACTGAAATTTTGATTGGCTGTTGACAATCGAGTAGCTTGTTATAGAAATGGCTGGTAGTTATTATTTGGCATAACTAAAAAGTTGATACTGTAATTTTACTATGTACTTAATGGATCAAAAAAAGTCAAAAGTCACTGCTTTTTATTTATTTCTTTTTCTCCCCTCCTCACTTCTTCTCCCTATTCTCTTTGTTTTCCCATTTTCCCATTGTTTTTATTTCTGTTTGTATTTTATATTAAGAAAGACATTTAACTGGGTGAAACAATACCTCTCAGGGCAACAATTCTTGAACCAAGATACCTCTAATGGGCTAACTTACAGAATGTGTCCAAAATCCAGGATCCATGGCTCCCATAGGAATAAAATTTGGATAAGTTGTGGCTGCTTCAGTAATACTGGTTGCAGCTATGCAGCTGGGCTGCTGCTGCAGTCACATGATAGCAATTCCTTGTGTGTCCCACCACACTTGGCCAATAAAGAATTCTATTCTATTCAATAGCAATAGCATTTAGACTTATATACCTCTTCACAGTGCTTTACAGCCCTCTCTAACTGGTTTACAGAGTCGGCATATTGCCTCCGACAATGTGAGTCCTCGAAAGGATGCAAACCTGGGTCAACCTTGAGCTGGTGAGAGTCGAACTGCCAAATTGCTGGCAGGCAGCAGAATTGCATTCTAACCACTGTGCCACTGTGGCTCTATTCATTTTTAACTTCCTGTGACAATTTCCCAGCCAGTCCCTCAATCCCTCTCCCACTCAGCAGCAGCCTGTTAAGAAGGAAAGAGGAAGGGACAGGAGAATTCCATTTGTGTGTGTGTGATTGTTTTCATCTGACATGTGGTTATTTGTTTTTGTTTTTCTCCTATGCAGGACACATCTCCCCTTGCAGGTCCACTTTCAATAGTACAAAAATGCAATACAAACTAGATGAGCTTTCCCAATCCGGTGACCTTCAGAGGAATAGGACTCCTGCCCCCAGGGGTGGGATTCAAAAATTTTAACAACTGGTTCTGTGGGCATGTCTTAGGTGGTGGGCGTGGCTTGGTGGTTATGTGACTGAGTGGACATCGCTTGGTGGTCATGTTATTGGCTGGGTGTAGCCAACTCAATATCACTCACATCGAGGCACGCATCTCCTTGCCTGATCTCTCATGACTGTGGGGATGCTGTAACAGTCGTAAGTGTGAAAAATGGTCATAAGTCACTTTTTTCAGTGCCATTGTAACTTTGAATGGTCACTCCACACAAGCAAAGTACCAGCAAAGAGGGGGGGGAAACTCCAGAGACGTTCCTGAGACAGGAAGTCTAGTCCTGCCAAGAATAAGGGTTAACGAAGAGGCAGTTTCTTTAAGCAAAACCAGAATGTTTCCTTTCTGCCTTCCTTACAGGATTAGGCCAGTAATTTCTTCTAACAACCGGTTCTCTGAACTGCTTAGAATGTTAACAACCGGTTCTAGCAAATAGGTGCGAATTGGTAGAATCCCACCCCTGCCTGCCCCCCTAAGTTCTAGAGTCTAGACAATGTGATAGAAATCATGAAAATGGAAGTCCAGCATATCAGGAAGGTTCAGTCTGGGAAAAGATGACTCTGAATCTTTTCAGTTACCTGTTCAGCCAAGAGTGAAGCGAGACTAGAATAGGCATCGGCAAAATCTGGTCCATACTGAATGGAACTTCTCAGGAGGAGAACTGCTTCCTCTTTCTTCCCTTGATTCCTGAAAGTCAAATAACAGGGAGTGGATAGCAAAGACAGCTCTTTGAATAATTTACTCAGTTTGCCTATTGATTAAATCACACAGTTAACATACTCAAAACAACCTCTCCTGTCTTTGGAAAAGGCTAAATAATTAAATTCTTCTATTGAATGTCTACTGGGACAGTATTAGATTCCTGGCTGGGTGAATGGGTGGAGGGAGAGATGCGTGGATGTTTTGTGCCTTTTAGTTTACTTTATTGTCATTGCACCTCATACAATGAAATCAAACACCATCTTCAGTGCACATCATGAACATAAAAATAAACACAAACACACATCCTTCACACTCCACACATTGAACCGAAAATCCCCGACACCACACCAACCCTGCACTATACAGTAGAATTCAAAAGAGCTATTGCCCTGGGACAGAAGCTGTTTTTCAGCCTATTTGTCCTTGTTTTTATTATTTTGTACCATCTGCCAGATGATAGTAGTTCAAAAAAAGGGTGTACCTGTTGGCAAATGCTTCGGTTCCCTTCTGTTGGATAGTCTATGAAATATTCACAAATCCCATTTCCCTGCTTTTCAACTCTTTGTTTTCCTTTTTTTTTTAAAATTAAACCAGGCAACACAAACTACCCAGAGAATCTTAGTCCAAACTGGAGGGAGGGAGGGAGGGAGGAGGGGGAGGAAAGGAGAGAGGACTCTGCTTGAGAGATTCAGTAGTTTATCTAAATCTGTTGTTCTCAAGCAATCTGTCTGGTGCTCCAAAAAGAAAGGAAAAGGCATTCTCCTAACTTTCAGAAATGCTGCAGACAGCATTATTTAACAATGCTGGAATAGAATACAAATCATGCAAAAATATCTTTCACTGGTGAAGATGTGTCATCAAGTCAATGTTGATTCTTAGCTCAATGGAGCATGAGCCCCAGCAATGTGGACTTAAATCAACATGGAGAGATTTTCTCCGGGAGGAGCTGTTCCCAATGGGTCTTTTAGTTTTCAACAGGGTTATACTGCTGCTATAACGGAGTCCATTCACCATACCAAAATTCCAAAGCATCAGTACCGTAATTTTTTTTATCCTACTTTCTCAAAGTCTAACTTTTTTATTTCCAGAGTGTCACAAGGAAAACCATTGTCTGCATGAGCCTGACCTTTTTGGTATAAACATGCCACAACACTTCAATATTTCCCCCCCAAGGGTTTACTGCTGTTTAATTCTTGACTGCTAGTTCTTTTTCTGTTGATAGTTGACACTAAAAGGTATTGATCTTCACTTCAGGATGCCCATTGTCCATTCTAAAGTTGGTTGTTGCAGTATTGTTGTTAGTACGGTCTTTTTTATATTTAATATGAATCCTGTTCTTCCACTGTGGCTTTTATTACTAGAAAGTTATTGACTTTTATTGCAAATCATCTGCATATTCAGATGACAAGTTAATGTCATCAGCATAGTTCAGATTACTTTGTTTCTTCCTCCAGTTTTAAAACCACACCTGTTTTCTTTCAATCCAGACTCCCTCAATATATACTCTGCATTGCTTTCATAGCAGGATTATAGTATCACGCAAGTGTGATAGGCATAGCAATTTCATAAATAAATGAAATAAAAATAAAATAAAATAAATTCTTTCCACAAATGGATGCTAAACCTGTAACAAGACGACACTGGAAATTAATAAAGTTTTCATGGGTAGTGACAGGCTAACATCTGGGACCTTGGTAGAACAGAATAATTAGAAGCAAACAAGCATGAGCATTTTGAGATAATTTCACTATTGTTTATTTCATATGTTAACAACAGCCAGATGATGGACTTCACTTTATATTTACAACTTTCTTTTTCATAAATATACAGTTAAGCTCCTATAATGAAAAACAACTGGCAGAGCAACAACTGTGGGATACTGCTTTCATAGGTTTTTTTTTTCCCAAGTTGGTATCATTCAATCTAAATCAACCCCAAATGGTTGGTATAGAGCAGGAATCTTCAAACTTGACAGCTTTAAGACTTCTGGACTTCAACTCCCAGAATTCCTCCTCCAATCATGTTCGCTCAGGAATTCTGGAAGTTGAAGTCCACAAGTCTTAAACTTGCCAAGTTTGAAGACCCTTGGTGTAGGGTCTCCTGCTTGGGCAGAGAGGTTAGACTAGAAGACCTCCAAAGTCCCTTCCAACTCTGTTATTCTGTTATTCTTGGACCAAAAAAAAATCAAAATACTTCCTCAGAGTCAGCTACGCAACCCAGAGTACAGAGCACAACACAACTACTATTGTCTTTTGCTAAGAATGATTATCACAAGCACTAAAGAGCGTTCAAAATCAGGCTGAATCAAAATTTAGGCTGGATAAATGCTTCCAAGCCGGTATTATTTGCCCCATTTCAAATTCAGTTCCAAAAGTACTGGCTGAGTGGAACATCCTTTCATCTTCTGCGCTCCTAATATATCAGGAGAACACTTCTGCCAGGCTTTGCTATTCAAGGACAATAGAGCTCAGCAAAGAAGGAAAGCAATTTAGGGTGGCCTACTTATCTGCCAATTCAAGGACAGGAGAAATGTCCATTAACACTGCCAAGAGAAAGAACTCAAACAGAGAGAAAGACATTTGCTGCTGTTGCTGTTGCCAGTAAACAGACATTCCTCTCACATTTGATTCTTGCTCTCCCAGTCCACCCACAGGTGCTATTTCTTGTATTAGTAGCCAGAGCACAAGAAGGAGAAAGCGGTGGACAAAAATAAAACAAGGATGGGGAATCTGTGGCTCTTTAGGTACTACCGAACTACACCCCAAACCATCTTCACCACTGGCCATGTTGACCAGATCTATTGCATGTAAGAGACCAGGTTCCCCACCCTTGCTGTAATTTATTTTAAAATATCTAAATAGCTAATATCATTTTGACTGTACGGTCAACTTTCTGAAACTTGGTGCTTTCTGGATGGCCTAGAAAAACTCATGTAGGTGGATAATTCTGGGAATAACATTTGCAGTGCAGGTTGAAGTGTCAAGATGGTCAAAGGTTGATGTAGAGACTCTGAAACTAGTGCAGAAAAGAGCAACAAAGATGATTAGACGATTCATGTATGAGGAATGGTTGTGCAGGACTTGGGTTTGTCTAGTTTAGTAAAAAGAAGGACTAGGGATGACATGATAGTAGTGTTCCAATATTTGAGGGACTGCCACAAAAAAGAGGGAGTCAATCTATTTTCCAAAGCCCTAGAAGGCAAGTCAAGAAACAATGAATAGAAATTAATCAAGGAGAGAAGCAACCTAGAACAAAAGAGAAATTTCCTAAGTGAGAACAATTAACCAGTGGAATGGCTTGTCTTCAGAAGTTGTGTGGCTCCATCACTGGAGGTTTTAAAGAAGAAATTGGCCAATGACTTGTCTGGAATGGTATAGAGTCTCCAGCTTGAGTAGTGGGATGGACTAGAACACCTCCAAAGTCCCTTCCTATTCTGTTATTCTGAAGGATGCTCTAGGCTTTTCCAGGATGCATGACTCTATTATGCAGACCTTATCAATAGTCATATTAATACTGTCTCTACATTTGCTTTGAAAAAAAAAATATCAGTGATGATATTTGACTTGGAATTTGAAGCTCCCTGAGAAGATTGAAATATTAATAGCTGAGGGAGAGATGGACCTCAACTGTAACAACTGCAGATGGTTCAGCTAATGAAAAGCTTCCCTAGAAACACCAATTAAGGTAATATTTCCTCTCTTCTTTGAAATAAAGTCACTTATTCGCCATTTCCATCTCTTTCATTTTCATATCATAAAACTGAAACACGGGAACATGGTATTTAAAAAAAGAGAGAGATAGGGGCTCCTTTTGTCTAATTTTGATGAAGATGGGGAAAAAAGCAATAAGATTAAATTCAGTACTAAAAGGTTCAACGAAATGGAGGTGGGAAATGATACCCTCACATAAGGCAGTCCTTGACTTACAACCATTTATCTAGAAATAATTCAAATAATTCACTGAAAAAATGACTTAAAACTAGCACAGGTCGTCCTTGACTTACAACAGTTTGCTTAGTGACCATTCGAAGTTACAACGGCACTGAAAAGTGATTTATGACCACAATTTTTCAGACTTGAAAAAATGACCAATACAGCATCCTCATGGTCTGTGATTTATATTTGGATGCTTGACCACTGACTCATATTTATGACGATTGCAGTACCCCAGGGTCATGTGATCACCTTTTGCGACCTTCTGACAAGCAAAGTCAATGGGGAATCCAGATTCACTTAACAGCCAGGTTATTAATTTAACAACTACAGGAATTCACTAAACAAAATATGGCAAGAAAAATGGAGCAAACTCACTTAACAAATTTCTCACTTAGCAACATAAATTTTGAGCTCAATTGTGGTTGTAAGTGGAGGACTACCTGTAGTCACGTTTATAACTGTAGCCACATTCCCATAGTCACAAGGTCAAAATTCAGGTCCTTGGCATGTATTTACAATGGTTGCAGCATTCCAAGGTCATATGATCTCCACAGCCAGCCTCTGACAAGCCACGTCAATGGGGGAAGTGGGTTCATTGAATGACTGAATGGTTCACTTAACAACTGCCGTGATTTACTTAAACAACTGTGGCAAAAAAGATTGTAAAATTGGGAGTGATTCACTTAACAACTGCCTTGCTTAACAATAGAAATACTGGTCCCAATTGTGTTTGTAAATTAAGGACTAGATATATGTGCGGCCATGATGAAAGAGCACAAGGATCTCAATTCACATAGTTCTATAACTAGAAGACTTGCAGTGTTTAAATCAATTTTATTTTTATTTATTTATTTATTTGATTTGTCAATCGCTTACAAGATAATAGGTATAAGTATAAACATGAGTAAGAATACAGGAAATAGGTACGAATAAATGGGGACAATAGGATAGGGAGGGTAGGCACGATGGTGCACTTACGTACACCCCTTACAGAGCTCTTAGGAATGGGATAAGGTCAATAGTGGATTGAGGTGAAAGGAGTGGGGGTTT